GCGCTCTCGGTGCGCCTTTTTGAACCTTCAAAAGGCACGCCTGTAGTGGGGCGCCAACTTTTGGGTATGCAAAATCAAAAAAAAACAGAAAAATTGATAAAACAACCTTGAAAAATGTGGAAAGGGAGAATCAATGATCATTTCTTTCAGATGGATGTGCATTACTAAGAATGTTCTTGGAGTCTTGGAATACGGATCTGATAGCATGTGCTAAAGCACTGATAAGCAACCACTCGAACAACAACTTCTAAAGATAATAACTCTGACCTAATTAAGGATTCAGATAGATAATGTATTAGTTATAAGTTATTGCTGACTGATAACTGATCTTTGGATTCTGTAAGAGATAGATGTTTCTCTTCCCAAAGATAATGATTTATATTCACCTGATAGCATGTGCTAAAGCACTGATAAGCAACCACTCGAACAACAACTTCTAAAGATAATAACACTACCCCAAATATAATGTAATCCCAACAGATTTCAAAAATGATGTTATTACAAAAATAAATTACAGATTACAAAAATAGAATGTTATTACAAAAATGAAACATGTAGATACACCAAGCATCATCATAGTAGATGTCACAAAGTCTCAATAACCACATTTAGGACCAGCCATTCAGTTTGATATTCAGAGGAGCAAGGCTTTATTTCAGTGTTTCAAAAATTTCTCACATTACAAAAATCCCCTCAGAGATTACGTAAATACCCTAGACATCACAAAAACACCTACATTACACAAGTGTAGGCCAGGTTTTTTAAATTTCTGGGTTTGATAAGGAATAAAGAAAGAGGTCAGATGGAGTCTGAAATTTGATGTTTGTGCAAAACCTTGTTCCAACAGAAATATAAGTACTCTTGGTTTGAATTTTAATCCGCAAGAAACTGAAGTGCAGCAGGTAAAATAAACAATTTTGCTTGGAATGACTAGCTCGGGGGTTGTAGGTTCAAGATTTGATGCAGCATGAGCCTCCTCCAAATAACAAGTGCATTTCCTGTGTTGAATGCGGTGAGGATATGAAGAAGAGGAATAGAATCAAAAATCAAGTGGATGGTATCATAATAACATTTGGAGTGATTGGATTTAGTCAAAATATATGTACTCACGTCTCCCTTGAAAGTGTTGCTGCAAGTTTTGCAAGCTCTTTAACTGGAGCGGTCATCCAAAGACCACAACATGCAAGTGTATGCAAACACCCGGTGAGACTTGCTAAGCACAGAAAGGATGTCCTCGACCTCGGTGATTAAGGTGTTGACAGTACTGTTTATTATATCAAGCTCATTCAAATTGCATTTTGTAATGAAAATGAAATTTAAGCACAGTATGAATAATCCATGATACTCAGCAATTCTCATCCATGAGTAGGACACTTGTGTCTTGGAGATTCCCAAAAAGCCAAACCTTCGGCAAGAGTCTATCTCAAGTTGATGAAGTCAAACTGCAGGAACTGGCGTGCCAGTCATTCTATTTGTTATGAAACTGACTCAAATTTCATATGATCATTGGGCAATGATGGACTTCTCCCTTCTACAGTTAATTAAGAATAGAATCATTCAGATTTATTGACCCACATATATATGTAACAGTGCGCAAATTATGATAGTGCGGTCTTTCAACAGATTTACACCTGCATCTCTGATATTCCACAAGTGCAGTCTTCCTACAGTCTACAAATTGAATCATTTCGTGAGTCACACACAATTAATCTTAAAGATGGCTGGTTTGTATTCAGAGTTTATATGCAGGTTAACTCCTGGTGTGTTATCTTTTGCAAAGCATCTTTCGAGTGGAGTTTGGCAGGGTACAATTACTCTCTTGTGGTTTGAAATTTGTTGGCATCCGATTCTCCCCAACAAACTCTGGACTCTTCAGATTTCCTTGCTTTCCAACTTTGTCTTCCGTTCTCTTACCATTGTCTTCCATTCTCTCAACTTTGTCTTTACTCGCCTGCATTACACACAAGTGTAATTTGGGATACACTCTCTTCCTTGAAATTGACTTAGTCACTGAACAAGAGTATGTATGTGTCTTCTTAATTGCCTTTCTGTCCATCAACTATGGCTTAATTGTCTTCACGCTTGGTTTGACTATCAATGCAGACAGTGATATGCCCAAAGTACTTGACCCAAGCGCTCCAGGGGTGAGCAAGCAGATGTTGATTGACTGGATGCACATCAATCATCCTCTGACTCCCTTCAATACGAGGCTCGGGATAAACGAAATCGCAGTTACGGTGCGGAGGATGCAACCTGAATGTAAGTGCTCTATTGTACATGGTTGGAAGCTTTTTAATACTCATCTGGTTCTAATATCATACATCAATAGTCTTTCCCGATCCTCATAGCAAGGCACCGGCTCTCAATCCCAGCATTACGATTCAACCTCTCTGTGGAGAACCTACAACTAAAGTGAAATCTGAATCACAAGCTAAAAATCGCCATCCCATTCGCGTCCCTCCAATCCCAACAGGTAGATCTCGCCACCTGCAAATCGAGACCCTCAGAACACCTCAGGAAGGTTCAAGTGTCGTTGAAAACACCGTCGATATGGATTGGAGCCGAAAGCGCATTGCTTCTGCAGAACTCAAACCAAATGTGAAGCATGTCAAGGTGGAAGGTGCGCATTCCATTTATTCCGCTTTTATCCTCAGATCAAGCAAGACCTCTGATTGGTCATAAATGCTTTTTTAGAGGTTGATCAGGCAATGCCCATACGGAAGACCAAGACCAAATCGTCTGAAAAGAAAGTGAGTTCTTTTTTACTTTTCACATCTATCATCTTTGGCCATTAAAACAAATGCGTCCTGCTTTCAAAGAGCCCACGAATTTTACAATTTAAACCAGTCTGTGGTGGCGTACCTGGAGTTAGTGATTTTGATACTGTACACAGATTCTTGAGCATATCGCTAGGATCAGGTATATGTATTATTGGTCCTTATGGGTCACTGTCTGACTCATGTTTATCTCAGGTGTCCCAAGGTTCAGGAGATGTCAACGGAAGTAGCAAAATCGATCGTTTTGAAGAGGACTTGAGTGATTCGAAGCTCAATCAAGGATCTTCAAAAAGGTCTTCAAAAGCCGTTTCATTCTCAGCTAAAGACATCCAAACGAAGGCCAGAAAGGAACCTTGTGTCTCGAGCAAGGGTGAGAATATTAAAGACAAACAGGTTGGGGACTTGATAGACTTTTCGGATTCAGAGATCATGGACACTGGAAATCTAGGTATGTATTCTGAGTCTTACCTCGTTTCTTGCTTGAATTTGACTGAAACAATATTGCCCCTTCAGTTATCGGCAAGGAAACTCCACCAATCGCCTTCACAAAGTCCAACAAGGCTTTGAACACAGCCAAAGGCAGCGCAAAATCCGGGGTTGATATATTTCTTGAAGAAAGAGGCCGCGAAGAACGCAGTAAGTCTTCTAGATCTCTTCATACATCTTGTACACTTTGCTCACATATGTTTGCATGATTCTCCCCCCAAGTCTCTGCGCTTGAATGCTCTACAACCCAGTTGGGTGAAAAACTCAAATTAAATACAACAAATTGTTTTCGACACAGTATGCAGCTTGAAAAGCATGGTTTGTCTGTTTGCGATCTCATGTGATACTATGCAGATCATCCAGCTGAATGATGCTTACCAGATCACTCGATTTCCAACATGCAAAGCAACATGGACCGCGTTGAACGTGTTGAAAGCAAAGTCTTGGCAATCGCAACACTTGAAGAGAAGTTCAAGTCCTTGGAACACGAGGTGATCAAATTACGTACTCAGTTGGGGAGAGCAATGCGGGAGATCTCTACCCATGAGGATATGTTTGTGAGGCTTATGGAGCCAGCGGAAGTGGAAACAAGCTCGGAAGATGATGATTCCAATGCTAACGAGTCTTAAAATGCTCTACTCTTTCCTTGTGCCACCATTTTCATCTTTCTGGTAATATGAAATGATCATACCGGACATCAATGTATATGTATAAGATTTGCGATTTATCACAAATCTTATCTTTCACTCACTTTCCCATGTATGTTTAGGGGGAGGTATACACTTTCCATCTTTGATTAGTCTATTAGTCAAGAGTCCGATAAGTACTAAATTGCTATATATCTGACTATTGAAATAAAAGAAGCGTTTTGTGAACTGACATACGTATATGTTGTAAAAGCTCCTTGATCACTCAATTTGCTGAAGAATTGATTAACACACACCGGCATCAAGATGAAATGTTTTGAATTTTCTTTGTCTTTGACCCGTATTCTCTCAACTTGTCATAAACAGTATTCTCGCACTGATGCAGAGGTTAAAACTAACTGGCAATAAATCATCGTGATGGAAGGTATACAGTGATGATCCAGGAAGGCCGTGTGGTCATGAGAAACTCTTGTAATTGAGATTTCGGTATATATCAACATATATCAAATGTTCCAAAGAGCTCTGAAATCCAATGATTACCATGACCCTCAATGAAAGTCTTGCTCACATACACTAGAAGGAAGTTGATAGGATTTGCGAACAATCTTTGCAAGTAAGCTTTGGCTAGTAAGGAATGAAGACAAAACACATCACTGACATCTCCTTTATGAAACAATGAGAAACTGATCGTACCTATGAAATCTTTGCTAAAAAGTAATCAAATTAAAATTGATAGTCATTACTTGCAACGAGATTGCAACAAATGATCAAGAGGATCTTGATTCTCTTTTGTTGTGACCTAGATGAAAATAACATAAAGGATTCAATTTCGATAAATAACAAGCCTCTTTTTGCTTGACTTCACCTTGTGATGACTCTGATAATGATTTTGATCGCAGCAACAGTTGCCAAATCACCTGATCAAGTTCTTCACAATGATCTCTAGGAAACTCAAGTTGTCTCAAAGAGACCTCTTATAACCTCCAGCCCCAAATTTGGATCGTTTGTTTGTTTCTTTCCAAGGGCTGCAGATCTAGATTTTCACATTACCTGTAGACGTTTTCTCACCCATTCACCCCTTAATACACACATGCCACCAAAACCAAGGGCCAGCCGGAAGCTTCCTTCAAGCAATCGGATCACTCGAAAGCAAGCCACCGATTCTAGACCTGAAGATAACACTGATGAGCCAGCTGTGGTGGCACTGTCAAAGAAACGGAAAAATCGACCAGTGGAACCAGATGAAGGTGAGATGAAGCCTCCGTGTACTGGTTGTCCACATACGAAGCTTTTTTATTCTAATCTCACGTTGATACCTTTTCTGGTGTAGAAGAAGGCTCCGAAGAAGCTCTTGAAGAGATCGATGTATCAGGAAAGCGGTCGCGAACACGTCTCTTGGAGCTCCTTGACAATCACATCACCAAGAAGAAAGCAAGACATTCAAAGAAAAAAACAGCAAAAAAACGGCCTCGTTCAGGTGTGGTTGAAAACAAACATGTGACTGTTCGATCTCCAGAAGTTACTTCTGATACAATTCCAAGTACCAAAGTCAACTACAACAAATTTGACAAGCATGAGCTGGTAGAGATTTTGCGTGATGTCGGCATAGACGCTTCTGGAATGGAAAAAGATAGATTGGTTGAAACTTGCGGATTTTACATAGATCTTAGTGAGTTTTGTCTATCTCAACTTGAATGATTGAACCACACACAAAGGTCACTAACTTGATTGGGCTCTGAGTTGTGCTCCCCACGAGTTTGGTTCAACAAGAGCCCAAGGTGCCAATCCAGTCAACATCGCAGATCAGGGGCAAACAAGCATCTTTCACTTTCGAAGTAACATCAAAAGAAGTAGATAAGGGTTTGTTTCTGTCTCATTCGCCCTGTTCCTGTTGATTGTGGAATCAGCTAATCAAGATCTCTTGTCAACCAATAGACTTACAAACCGGTTCCAAGAACCTCTCTGAATCTTCTGTACCAGGTGAGTTTCTGCTTTGTACATTGCATCATTCGAGTGATAATGATGTTTAATAGCATGGCTATATTCTCTCTAGGTGGATCAACTGGCGATATCATTGTGGATGAGCCTTCGGACACGTTCATCCCCAGCTTAGACACGGGCGACTTAGTACCCTCGCCCCAACCAACATCTTTA